ATTGCACCAACGTTGAGCAATGACTTTCAAATTGGATAACATTGTTATTGACTAAGAATAAAAAAAAAAAAAAAAAGGAAGAAATTTAAAATTCCCCCCTTGATCATAACAAAAAAAAAATTGCCTCTTTCACTCCTTCTTTTTTTGGAAAGTAACGTCACATATACCCTACAAATTAAAATCCAATCCATAGAAAACATAATACTTAAATAACGGGAAAGAATTATTCAAACTATTGATGATAATGTACATGTGATGTTAAATGATATGAAGAAGTAGATGTTGGATAATATGTGATGAATCAATGAAAAATAAAAAGGATGTGAAGAAAAAAAAGTTTTATGACGGTATGTTAGAGGCACGAATATCAATTGGTCAGACTGGGCGTAGATATCTTTTACTATTGGGATATCAGAGGATGACTTTGAGCTGAAGATGATGGTGAACAACCATAAAAAAAGTGGTGACCAAATTTCAAATACCGGTGAGAACTCTTTTTTTTCTATTTTAGCTTTTCTTTTTTTTTTTTTTCTTTTTTTCTTTTTTATTTACCTCTATTCATGTTATATAATAGTCGGTCAATACCATTTGATAAAGATGATGAACAACAAGAAGGATGTAAACTACTTGATACATTTGCTATTTTTGTTCAGCTTTTATTAGCCTGTGTTGCTTTCTCTACACTTATCATAAAACGACAACGAGAAAAGCCAAGAAGACCTCTACGCATTTGGTAAAAAAAAAAAAAAAAAAAAAAAAAAAAAAAAAAAAAAAGGTAAACAGAGATAACTCATATATTCACTTATTATTTATCATTTTAGGGGATTTGATATCAGTAAACAAGTAGTTGGAGGAATAGTCATTCATACACTGAACTTGGTTATGTCATACATATCTGGATATTCACTTGAGGATAGTAGTCCGTCAAACCCATGTGTCTGGTATAAAAATAAAAAAAAAATCACAATTGATTGTATATATTTACTGTTTTTATCTTTATACTTAGGTATTGGTTAAATATATTTGTAGATACGACATTAGGAACAGCTATTATATGGGGAATACTTCGTTTGGGACAATTTATAGCAAGACAATGGGGATTCTCAGGTTTTGAAAATGGTGTATATGGATCTACTTTTAGAAAACAAATAGAACGATGGTGGAAACAATTATTGATGTATGTAACAGCTTTGATTATGATGAAATTATTGGTCCTTTTACTATTTCGACTTTGTCCTTGGTTAGAATGGTTTGGTGAATGGGTTCTTGGTTGGACTTCGGGAAACTATAAAATTCAAGTAGTATTTGTGATGCTTATGTAAGTAGAAGAAGAAGAAGAAAAAGAATAAAAAAAAATGCAGGTTTTCAATTGATAACTAAACTAACTTGTATTACTTTTTTATTATTATTATTATTATTCTAATTATTATTGTAGTTTTCCATTGATCATGAATATTGCTCAATTTTGGATAGTGGATACAATACTTAAACATAACTCACAACATACACCTATTCATTTGGATGACGCTATGGATGAAGATATTCTGATACCAATCTATGATGATGAGGATGATGATTCTTTGGATAATAATCATCTTAATCAATATGATGATGATGATGATAGTCATTGGCCTCCTCCAATTCATTCTCCTTTAATGGATGGCGAGCAAGATGCTGTTTCACTTTCATCCTCTTTGAAACCATTGACTGGACTTCAAGATGACGACGATCAAAACAAAAAAGAATTTAATCTAAATCCATGGACTTACACCTCTTCTTCTAATAGCAACCAATCTCCTCCACCTTCCCAACAATGAAACAATGTATCAGTAATTGTAGATTAGTTGTTTAATTTATTGTCTTCTTTTTTTTAAAAAAAAAAAAAAATATATAATAAAATTGATTATTTTTGATTGCTTCTTGTTATTGTTGTTGTTAAATGTTGGATAGTGTCAAAACAGGAGAACTAATATTATAGAAGGAGAAAGTCATGCGTTCTTCCCGGATACCGTAGTTTTTTTCGACCCTACCTTTCCGTTTCTCCCTTTCCTCTTTTTCTCCCCTCCCCTCCTTGATTCCTTTTTTTTTTTTTTCTTTAAAGTATATTTAAGCATTTTATTTTTTCCCATTCGTTCCTTCTTTTTTTTTTTTTTTAATGCTTGTTCCTTTTCTCGTTCCCTTCTGTTTTTTCATTTAAAATCCTTTTGATGTGTTCTAATTCTTCTTCTATTCGTACAAATAGATCAATCAGTGTATTAAGTACATCTGAGAATAATATTTCTTATATAACAGATTATCAAAATCAAGTTCTTCCATTAACAACTAGTAACTTGGAATTACTTCAGGTAAGCTTAAGTAATAAAAAAAAAGGGACATCCTTCCCTAAAAGGAATCAGTCATCTTTTGGCGGGAGCGGCATATCAAAATCACATTGAAAAAGCTTTTTCCACTTAGTCGATCATGCATGATTTTTTTTATTTCTGTCTCCTATCCCTTTGCCATCTGAGTCTTTTTTTTTTTTTTTTTTTTTATCAGAAAATTGACCTCCTTTTACATTGGTTTTTTTTTTTTTTTTTATGATGATGATGATGATCATCATAGTTGACTTATCAACTCCAAGCTAAACATCAATATGTCGCCACCTATGTCAAAAATCAGACATGTATACTAGCATTGGAAGCTAAATTACAGCAGCAGAGGTGGAAAGAAATTCAAACTTTGGTACCTTTAGAAACAGCACCCTTTGAAAAGGAAATTATTCTTTGCCAGAACAACAAAAAGAAAGCGAAAAAGAAGGCAGACCCTATATCCTTCTCAATAAGTATTCATCAGCAGAAACAAAGCCAGAAGTCATCTATTGCTATTGACAATAATAATAATAATAGTAATAATAGTAATAGTAATAATAATAATAACGATGATGATGGTGGTGGAACAGATATTATCAAAAAAAGACCATCTTGGTTATTCATGATGAAACGTCGGCATCGTCATCATCATCATCCAAATTCATCATCCACATGTAGGCCACCAGAAATATCTCAATCAAGACTGCAGCAAAGGTATCGTCAAGACAAAATGAATTTGATTCATCAAGGTCTCTGTGGTTCATCTGGCAGTTATTCCCCATCCGATGATCATCAACAACCTAATCAATTAGCATCCTTTCTGTTCTCCTCTATCATCACATCTCCTTCTTCTCAACATCCATCTGTCATATCATCCACTTCCTCATTTAACGCCACCCTCCCTGTTTCACATGGCTCCTTTATGCAACATCACCCTTCAACTACTACGAAGCTAAACAAACCACATCCTTCATCCATCCATCTAAATCACACTACATTTGAATCATCACCATCTATACCTAAAAAAACTTGGTGGAAATGTCGCTGGAAGGACGCTCAACTTGAAACAAACAACCAAAAACGCCATCATCATGATGATTTCCTTGCCTTTCGATACCCTAAAATGATCTCATTCCATAAACTCCGTGATGCAGCCCTTCAACTTTTACTGACTACAGATAAGCATAATAATGAAAAAGACTTACCATCAACCTCTACGTAAAAAGTTTTTCAAGTTCGTATCTGTTGTTGATTAATCCCTTATTATTCTAATAAATAAATGCATTTTCTTTTATTGTATACAGTGTATAAGAAGTAGAAAAAAAAACAAAGAGAACTATAGATAATGCCTAATAATCAAAACGCCAAAAAAAAAAAAATAAGTAACAAGGGATAATATAAAATAATGGAATATAATAGAATAAGGGAAAAAAGAATAAAAACTAGGATGAAGGGAAGATGTAAGATGATGAATTGCAATGATATACAGGATTCCTATGTTTCCAAGTTGATGGTTTTGTAGTTGTTGCTGTTCCTTTCACATTCCAAGGAGTCCGCTGAATTGACTAGCATATTGCATTGGTCGAACTTGAGGATGAGGCTAATCATAATAAGAATAAGAATAATAAAAAAAAAAGAATATTAGAATATTGTCATCACCCTTATTCCCCTTTATTTCTGTTTGTCACTTACCACAGCTTCAAATGTCTTGTATTCGAGTTTCATATCAGGAGTAATGTTGATTAAAGCACCTTTATTACCCACAGAATCACTAGATTAAATAATAATAATAATAATATTAGATCACCACCTTCTTTTGTTCCTATCAGTATCCATCTTACCAATAATTAGGAGCAGAAAACACCGTAACACATTTCCCTTCATGTTCTATCACATAACCATTTTCTTTCACTTCATGACTTCGAATCAACATATCTAAACAATACAATATATGCAAACATGAGGAAAGACATTAAATCTCCAATAGTTAAATCATTGTTTCTTTTTTTTATCGTTACCAAGTTTGTTTCTTTCCAAGAAGTTTTTAGTGACATCAGGACCAAATTGAACACCTACACCACGTTTGCTTGCTCCTCTACCGAGTTCAGGTTGAGGATCAGACCATAATAATTCACACATGAGACCTTGTAAAGAAAAAAAAAAGGTAAGTTTAGACTTGGATTTATCAATCTTCATCTTTTTTTTTTCTTTTTCTTTTTTTTTTTTTTTTTTTTTTTGTTTTTACCTTCATTGGGTGGTTGTCTTAATGACAGTCGATCAATCTTTCGAATATCATCCAAAGTAACATCATCTCGAGAGAATAAACCACCATGAACCACCAAAATTTTGTGTTGAATGACATGAGCCAATGGTAAAGCATTGAAAGTTTCAGAGAATAACTATTAAAAAAAAAGGGAATTAGAAACTTGGTTTTCTTTTCTTTTCCTTCATCATGTAAATTACCTTGAACATCATTTCACTATATTTGGCTTTGACTTCCCCTTCAAATCCATATACCTTGTTCATATTATCAGTTTCATGATTACCACGAGCCAAAAAGAGTCGATCAGGATAAACACACTTGTAGGCAAATAATGTTAGCACAACTTCCAGAGAAAAGCTACCACGATCCACGAAATCACCATTGAATAAATAAGCATGACTTTCAGAGGGATAACCATTGATGTTGAAAATATTGATAAAATCATAGAATTGTCCTGTAATAAAACAAATAAGTGAAATTGTTTCCTTTTTTATTCTTTTATAAAACATACCATGAACGTCACCACACACAGTCAGTTTACCGTCATTTGGTACAGAAATGTCTATCAAAGATGGAGCCTGCATCATCATTTGTCGTACAGCCAACAGAATCTACAAATGTAAAAAAAAAAAAAAAAAAAAAAAAAAAAAAAAAAAAAAGACGAGGAGGATCAGATGTTTGTCATATGAAAAATAACAAGTACATTAGTATATTTACCATGAAAGCATATTTCTTGTGAAGTTTCTTTTGATTCTTGAATCTTTCCACCATTTTATTGACAAAGTCTACATCGATTTCGTTGGTTCTTCTTCGTTAATTCGAGGTCCATCATAAGAATCTTCAACATCTATATGAAAAATAAAATAAGATATCAATTTAATCATCATCGTTGTCATTTATGTAATATGGATTCAATTATCCTAAAAGTCATATACTTACTCATTGTGGTAGTATCTAAAGAATCGGCCACACTAGGGATATTATTGTCAGCCTAATCAAATATATCAGAGTTCAGTAACCAATCATCACTCTTCATTTGAATGTATTCCTACTTCAATGGCCTTTTCGAATTCGATACGTTTGACAATCTTGGCACATTCATTTAACTTGTCTCTTGCGTCTTTATCACCAGGTACACGTTTGCAAACCTATATTTGTTTTTTTTTTTAAAAAAAAAAAAAAAAAGATCAGTAATACAGATATAACCTACCTATATATATATATAGTATAAAGAATAGTTACCATTTTGAAATCTTTCAATGCTTCTTTGAATCTTCCCAAGGCCATGTTCGCACTTGCTCTACGGTAATTAGCCTATGTCAGAAAAAAAAATAAAGTTTTTTTTTTTTTAACACGAAGATTATATTATATATTTTTCCTTCACCTTGTCAAAGTAGGATCTAATTCCAAAGCAGCTTCGGCATCACTAATGTGATAAATAAAAGGTTAAAGGTTCGCGTGTCAAAATGTATAATATCTTAATAACTTACGTAATAGCATATCCATAAGATTCAAGTTTTAGGTGACAGAAAGCACGGTTGGAATAATAAGTAGATACAGGATTCAAGTCGATGGCAGCTGTGTATCTTTCAATGGCTTCAATGAATCGCTTTTCTAAGGAATAAATGGAATTTAAAATTAAGTCATCGATCGTTTATAACAATATATGTGTTTGTTTTATATACCTTTGAACAGTTGGTTGGCTTCATTTTTGATTTCTTCAGCTTTGATCTTATTATCTTCTGCCATAACTGTCTAAATTGCCCCTCCTCCCGGCGCCCCGGCGCTGCGCCTTCCCCCCCCCCCCCCCCCCCCCCCCACCCCCCCCCGGCCCGCCCGCCCCCCCCCCCGCCCGTGCCCCCGTTCCCCCCCCCCCCCCTTGCCCGCCAATCGCCGGATTCCTTCGCTTCTCCGCTGTCTTCATTTGGCTCATCTCTTCTCTATGTGATGATTGATATTCTAGAACATATTTCTCTATATCTTAAAGTATAAAGGAGATGAAATCAAAGAGTAGATTATTATAGTTGAGTGAAGAACTGATGATGATTTTGAATTGACCTGTTTTTGTCTGTACCTGTACAACAAAAAAAAAAGGGCGCAATGTACTAGGAAACTTGTCGCCCCAAGAAAAAAAAAAACATATATGACCCTTAAAAAATTGGCCAACTTTTTCTTTTTCCCTCTTTCTTTCTTTTTTATTTTGTCTTTTTCTTTTTATTTACATCAAAAAAAAAAAAGAAAGACATTCTCCTTTCTACATACTTGTATTCTTTTTATTATTACTATTACTATTACTACTACTACTATATATATATATACTCTCTCTCCTCCTCTCACGTCTCCATTTGTATACATTACTTTTTATTTTTTTATTTTTTTTTTTATCTCTTATTGCCTACATCGTGACCACTTTCACTTTTTCTTTTCTTCTTCCTTCTCCTACACCCCCTGCTATCGTTTTCTCTCTTTAGTTTATTATTATTATTATTCCCTTTATCCCTATTCTTGATATTCTATAGCTAGATCCTTTTAGTGTTTATTACATTTTATATCTTTTTTTTTTTTTTTTTACCTTTCTTTTTTTTTTTTACACTCTCATATGACAACATTCAATACTCAAACTACAACACAACAAGAACAAGTCAGTCCCAAACTGAATTTCAAGACACAAAATAGACGCCAACAATATCAACTTACTACACAACCTATATTTCACCAACAGTCTGGTCAATCTACCTCTTCAACTTTGAACTCGACTTTTTATACCACTACTAAGCAATCAAACAATAATCATTCTACAACTATTACTGCTACTGAAACATTGTCAACTTCTTTTAGTCATACTGTGCCTGACGTAAAACATGATGATGCGTTGGAACACTCTGATATGATTGATCAAGATAATTTGGATGATGCTGAAGATGAAGATGACGTTGAAATCATTATGCATAATGAACCCAATGCCTTCAATTATACAGGCTCCGGTCTTGACAATCACGCTTCTCCTATCAATTCTTCTCCTGTCGCCGCAGCTCTAGACTCACAATACCACCAACAACACCAACATAAACAACATAAACAACAACAACAACACAATTAAGCTCCGATCCTGATCATCCAACACGTAATAAAAAAAAAAAAAGAATATATACTTAACGTACTCATTTAAATTCTTTTAAAGTAGATTCTTCACCATCATCAATACCATCATCTCATCATCATCTTCAGAGACAGTTGGAATATTATTTCTCAAGGTAGTAAATTATTTGATGAAAGAGACATCAAATTGTTCTTTGTTTATATGCAAAATACAGAGTTAAGGAGTAAGAAAATCTCATCATCCCTTTTTTTTTTTTTTTTTTGGTATTTAGACAAAATTTGGCAAATGACTCTTATCTTGGTAATATTATACATATACATATATAAATGGTATTAACCATTGTTTGCTTTATCTCTTTAGTGTCACAAATGAACCCTGATCTCTATGTTCCGATTGCTACCATTGCCAAATTCAGACGTGTTTTGGATATTACTACAGACATGGATCTTATAGTCTCAACTCTCGTCGTCGTTCTCCCGTTGTCATCGTTAATGAAACTGGCACTATGGTCAAACCGAATATCTCTGTACAACGAACAACGGTAATATTACGCGATGTGGCCGATACAAATGAAACGGTAATAAATAAATAATACATATTATATATATATATATATATCCATATACTCTTTTAATTCATTCCATCTCACTACATATAGGAAATCAAACAATTTCTTCAAGAACTTGGCACTCCACCAATTAAAAGTATCAAGAATGAATATGCAAATATGTGGTATATTACCTTTGAATCCGAAGATCATGCTTTGAAAATGTTTATGATTGCCGTGGAAAGTCATTCAAAGGACAGCCTGTAGCCGCTAGAATGAAATCTGAACCAGTGGTTGGTAGCATGTAATATCAAAAAAAAAAAAAAAAAAAAAAGGATAGATGGATCGTGAGGGAATAAATCAAGATAGATTCTTATATTTTTTTTATTATTATTATTTGATCGTCTCATATAGTCAAGCGCGAAAATCGGCATTACAGGCGGAATCAACTGCTTCATCACCAAAGCAACAACAACAACAATAACAACAACTACAACTACTACTACTAATATTGCTACAACAGCCTCCAACACCCACACGATAATGATCAACGGCAATCTCTCAATGATAATCCTATGAAAAATTATATTTACAACGGTTATTATATTCCTTTCAACTCTCCTATGACATTTAGGCATCATTGGCCTATACCTTATTCTTCTCATCCTGGTAACATATATCCAAACTATATTCCCAATGGTAATCAAAATGGAGGTCGCTTCAATAATAACAACAATAAACGTGGCGGTAAATCTGGTAGAGGAAGGTATAAAACAACAATCATTATGGAGACATGAAACAATTCAGCAATAGGGACAACGTCGACCAGTACAAATAGTACACCTGTAGAAACAATATCCACTTCATTTTCATCTCCAAAAACACAGCATCAAACACGTACGAATGGATACAAGCTTAATGGATC